GTATACTCTTGGAAGTCAAGCTTCCTCTGTGCAAGGTGCCGTGTGACCCGTCACATTGACGTTGCTTGCTCGCTTGAAATTCCCAAATTTAAGCATACAATTTGACTCCAGTTTTATGAATCTTGCTATTTCAGCCAGAATAATTGAATAAAGGATGAATTTTTTGTAACCATTGCTCGAAATATCTATACCTTCCACAATTGTCACCAGGCTGAAGGAGTTTTTGTATATGCTATTGACTGACGACGCAATGTTAATTTACTCGTAATCTAAATTACTAATCTCGCCATACAAGGCTCACAAGATTTTTAGCGCTTACGTATCATGGTACCTGGGCTAATTATTATTGCGTGTACGCAATTGCTCTCACAGTGAGCTGCAAGACCGAATTTATGGGCTGCATCGCCGCGTGTCGAAGGGCTTTTGTTTGGTTGAGTCACAAAGTCTGAATAATGGTGTCATATAGTTGTCATTCATTTATTGAAAATTGCTGTGATTTATGTGATTGTCGACTAACAAGCTTAACTCTTTGCTCTTACTTAATTTTATTTTATGTATGGTATGATCTCAACACGAGCTCCGTCAGATAGTCATACCGCTCTCCGTTTCGAAGAGCGAGTCGAAATGTACCGCTGTCGATAGCGCTTAACTCTCGGACACCCCCAATCAAAAACAAAATGCAAAGCCGTCGACCTTAAATGAAGGTGAGGTGGTGAATCGGAGCTAAGTAAATCATTTTGAATTCTCTGATCGGAATACACATCACCCTTCCTGTCGAAAAGCCCTGCTCAAATTCGATCACAGGGGCATCGTACTTCTCGACGACTCCGCGTACCGGGCGCTCAGCAAGTAGCTCAAATTTGGATGTCAAATTTTGACTACAACATATTGCATCGACCACCGCTTCATTCGCTACGAGATTTAAACGGTACCAAACAAATTGTCCAACATTATCATTTGAAAACAAGATTGCGTCTTCAGGCGAATACAACAGTTTGTAAACTTTAGATTGACGAAGTTCAAGGGTTAAAATTGAAGATCCTAACAGTTTTTGCTGAGTAGTCTGTTTTTCTGAGCTTACACCAGAATAGTATCATGGCAAGACCTACGATTTGTGACTCCATTGGAATTCACGTCTTGTTAGTGACCTAAGTGTGTATTACGTTACTGTCCGTCAGACTAAGCTCGAAATTTGAAGGTCATAAATACTGCTCGTAGCGCTATGATGGACGATCATGATCAAGGATCGAAGTGGATCTTAGTGATCTAGCACAAGGCATGATATCGGAGTTATAATATCGCTACAATGAGTTGTCGGTAGAACACGTTGATTAAAATTAGTACCTATATTTACCGATGATGAAAGAGATATACTATTCTTCATTTAGTCAGTTATAAGTATTCAAAAGCACGCACTGTAATTTCAAGTGCTCTAAAGTATTGGTACTTTTCAAAACGGCTTTTGAGCCCGTCTGCTCTTTGGTTGATAACGCATGGTCTACGTCTTCAAAACATTTTTGAACGAAGTGCTACGGTCACCCCATTGAAAGGCTGATGTTTCGTAACGTAGATGACAACTCCTGTGTCTGTACTCAATCAATTGTCGACAGTATATACCTCTGCGGGATTACTTTGCCTCATTTGGTCACAGTATATATGGCTGCGTCAATATTACTATTCTGCTGATTACAATTTCGCGTCGCGAGAAGCGGCGAAGGGAGTGGTTGGCGGAGTCAAACAAAACTTACTAAGCAGATACTATAAAGCATGAATCTACACGATACCATAGTCAAAAACTCCGTGAAGTCATTGTAAAAGAAGACAGCGTGTAGTGTGATGACGTTCATTCGTTTGTTATATCAGCTTACTTCATTAACAAGTATTGTATCATTCACAGGATCCATTGCACCAAGTTTATCTACCAAGAAACAACTGGGAAAAGCTTAAATGCGATGAAATTGCCATGCACCTCGCAAGTAGAAGCTCTAAATTAACGAGTTAGGGTCAGCTAGCGCACAAACGATGGAATCAAGTTCGTTTCAGGTACTAGGTACTTCATCTACTTATATGTTAAATTATTATTTATCTAATATTAACTCAAACTGATTGAATTGCACATGAAAATTCTGCTTTTTTACAGAAAATTATTCAAATTGTCAAGAATAGGGTTATCAGCCCTGTGTCTTGCAGCCTTCTACTTATAAAGCTCGTTTGCTCTCTTCCAAACTAAGCGCTAGTCATGGCAAAACATCATGGATAATTCCAATGATCCACTCGGCCTTTACTCTAGCGTCAATTATGTAATGTCTGCGAGCATTTTGATAGGATATTATTTTGATGCATCCATCGCGATTAAAATTGAAACTTCACTAGGGCCACACTCGCCATGTTATTTCAAAACACTTTTTACAGATTAAATACCCACTGCGATGTGAGTTTGTTTCTAAACATTGCATTCCGCTTTTACAAGTATACTTCAAATCGGGAGTCCACCGCTCCAATTTAGTTGCACATCTGGACGAGCCACCAGAGAAAGGCACGGGCCTAATGGCCACGCCTTGCTAGATAAGCAGCTGATGCTTTCTCTGATACGATCGGTCTTTGTGACTCTTCTAGCGCCACCCGCAGCAAAAAGCAAGCGGCCACACCGGGCCCCTGGAATTGAGTGTCCACGAAGCTCTGCTTCTCGTCTACGCAAAATGCGCACTCTGTATGTGCTCTTCACGGTGAATAATATTACGTCACCCTGTCGCAAAAAGTTAAACTCAATTTTACCGGGCTTAACCTGACTCAGCAAGCCAAGCTTGCTTGTGGGCTAGCGCGAAGGTCACAGCGGTTCTCGTAGAATGATCACCTCTTTGATGGATTTACTCCGTCACAAAATGAACGCCGGGTTTCGGTGGAGCCATGAACGCTTCTGAGCGTGAGTCTTTCGCACATACTGGAAGGGAGCACTCAGAGTCGCTTTTAAATAGCTATATGACCTCGCAAGTTACCAATCCACATTAATATTGCCTGTGTCTAGAGCAGCAGTTGGGTAATCCATTCTACCTGAAGTCCATAGCTCTGGTAAAAAACGCTGGTAAAAGTGCCAAGGATTACTCAGCCAATTAGCGCGCCGGGTCAAGGAGGTACGTCGACTCACCTGTCTTATGGGCTATAGCCAGCTTGAGCAAAGCAAACATAAGACTGGATAGTCATTCAATGATTTGACCTTGTGAGGAAATATGCACGACGTAGTGCCAGATGCTCTTACTTTAGTATGCGTTATAAGCTGTCCCACTTATCTCTATAAGCCTGCTAGTGCAGCTATCAACCACGTTTCGATTATAAAACAAGGATGGTCCGCTCTCACTAGTGGAATGCGCGTTGTAATTCGCGGTTCTATTTCTTACTATGGTTTATGACAGAGAATGTGCTAATTTATAAACGGCAACGGCATCAGGGCATTTGAACCGCAAATCAATGTGAGTTCTTGAAGCGAAATCATCTTTTGCACTGATAGATTCTAGACAGAGCTCACTGTGTGTGTTGAACGACTATTCGTACACGATAGATGTGGATTGATGTTGTGACGGTTGCGCTCAGCTTCGCACATATTGTAAGCTCTTGCTGTCGCGATTGCGTCGCGCATCGATAAGGCAATGCGTTCACCATACCGGCCCAAATGCAACATGTTTCAAAAGCACTATATATATGCATTTGCGTTTGCCCAACGGTCCCTATTCCAAGGCGTGCACTATCGAAGTACTGATCCATTCGACACGTTACATCTCGTATCGTGGACCTCACGTACATAGTACGATGTGATACAAATTATAGTCCTCTGGGTGGCCACCTAGGCCGATAAAAGAAAAACGGCCAATCACTGCTATCTTTGTATGTATAATTGGGTAAGCGCTTTTGTGTGCGCGTGTGCACCGTGCCAACGAGTAAACATACATCGGCACCTTTAACCTATCGACAGTCCATCAGTATGAGCAATATCTTTGTTGATATTGGTAGCATGATCTTGGTAAGCCATCTGAGCAATTTGATTTCTCTTGCTGCTTATCACCAAAGTTATTGTCAACATAGCATGCCGATGGCCACTGCTTGAATTTCGGTCTTTCAAGCGAAAATTATTATTTTTTCGTTTTTTTCGGTACTGATTTGAATTTCTCTACCGTAGACCATCGCCTGACAGATGGGCAAACGTTATGCGCTAATTGCGTGATGCTTGATGAAAGATTTATCCTCAATCCAGTTACGCGACTCCGTGAAGTGCATTCACTGTTAATTAGTTTGCTACAACAACGCAGTACATAACCATGCTGGATTCATTCCATCGTAGATAAATTGTTTGGGTGAATGCCGTGGTTATTGAGATCACCACAAAGTGGTCCCGGGCTTTTTTTGTCGATATGACTATGACTCGACTTGCTGATATAGGCCTAGTTATACCTCGTAGCAAAATCGCAATTTTATCTCCGAGGAGATTGACCATAGTGTACCGAGTGCGCAACGTTATGGTAGAGAACTGGGATATGCGAATGCGACACGGCTTCACCAGAGACTTCGCACATGGATGTGTATCGGTTCAAAGGTTATATCAAAAGGTGCCGATTTATTTTTGCAAGAAGGAATCGCGGTCAATCGGCTAAAATTTTGCATTGCTACATTGGATTGTTTTCGGCTGAAACCACCAAAGATTAATTTTCGATGCATTACATGTTCTAACCGGAGCCATTCCGCGAGCACGCTCTTACGAGCCATTTAGATGTAAAGTGCTCAATTGAAGACGAAGCAACGTTTCAGCAATCCTCTTAAGCTGAGCTCCTTTCTGCTTAAGGGCAGCGATACGGTTTTGGTCGGCCGCGGGAGTCTGAAGTGTTTCCGTACGCGAGCGTAGCTTTGGAAGGGCATGCGATTTGTGAATCATCTCAGTATCGCCACGCTTTAAGTTTCAGGGAGAGTCGACGTTCCGGCAAAAACCGAGAGAAATTCCGGGAGCTTACCATGGGAGGGTCATCCTCCACCGGCACTGCTTCATAATGAAAGACCTCCTATCTCATAGCTTACTTCGAAAGTATGTTTGACAGAGACGAATAGGCGTCCTGCTAAACTCTGCGAGAGATCTTGTGATAATATCTCTGTGCGCAGAGACGTGTGTAGTCTGTATATGACAAGTGATTTAGAGCCAAAGCAAGCGTGGCTTGAATATGGCAAGATAACATTGCAAATAGCGCGATGTCATGAATTGTGTGGTATTTCTTAGCTACTGCGAAACGGGTGAGACTCATTGCGATTACTCGATATAGCCTGCTTGTTAGAGCATAAAGAAAAAGCGTCATATTTGACATTAAATGGCCGGTCGGGTTTTGGAAAAACCAACATTAGGGCGCACAAAAACTTTTTTCGTAACATTCGGCCATCTATTCTGCCGCATTCCAACACACTCCTTTTGGCATAAATTGGAAAAAGTCATTTCAGCGTACTTTGCACAATTTAATACAAGTATTTGGTCTAGCCAATCATCAATAGTCTCGATTTTTGCAGGATAACTTGGGGCATCCTCCCCAATAAACCACTCCAGAAATGGAATTTTGTCGACCCCAACACATACTTGTATATATTGACGAACAGCTAAGTATGTAAATACATTCAAGCACTGTTCGCAATCGCTATGGGGTGGATTCCCGAATCTGACTTTTTGTGCTCCGATAATTTGTGGACAAATATATTGTAATAATTGTCCTGCAAGTATGCATAGTAAAGCCTACCAGACGCTTATACATCGCTGGTGCTTCAGACAGACCTTGAGGCATATCCAACAATTTTCGGCGCATCTCGCTCGAGAAACCCAGGTCCCACGGGTTAAGAAAAATGTTAATGTCGCACGTGGGCAATTCGTATCCATCAGCCTGGTCAAGAGAACTGAACAACTTGCAGCCGACCGTGCTGTTCCGCAAGACGTAATTTTTAAAAGTAGGCGTTTGGGCCAGTAATTTCAGCTGTATATCAAGACTCTCTATGACCTAACATGCCGAATGTGTAATTTTATGAACCCACATACCGCACTTAGGTTATTATAAGCATGTCATTTGCACTTAGTCGATTTGACGTATAAAGCTGTGTCGAATGATGAGATTCCCTTTTTCTCACTAAGCTTGCTTTGTGTTTTGCGCAGAGAAACATTCACAAAGCCATAGCTCTCTTTGCAAGGTGTGACGCAATATTTCCTTCCAAATATCAATTGAACCTTAAGACGCACTTTCAAAGCGTGTGACGGGACTCTTGTTACCACGCCGCCACATTCTTTCAAAACAATTAAAAATAGCCCATGGGGATCTTAGAATAGCGAATTCACTCTTTGCATCTACTGATCTTAAGTGCCTTCATTACCAGAGTCATCGATGATGGATCGCACTTCGTACTTACTGATCCATGCGTGTCCTTGATAACGAAACGATCCATGACGTAGGAGGCCGTCCTACGTAATTGTTCGGTGACTTAATTACTTTTAACCTCATCGGGCACATTCCATTACAATTTGGTGTCTTAATTGTCCATAAACGCACTGAACTCATCCTGAGACAGCAATTGCTCTAGCTCAATGAAAGTTTTGGCAAGAGGTGGTAACGAAAGACTTTCATCTCCTACGAGGACCATGATTTTCATTCACACAAGTGAACTGTTTTTCTCATCACTCACCCGTTCAGTTTCACTCCCCTGCACGAGGTGGTGTCATAAAAAACTGGTGCGTCGCCACTTCCTGTGTCTTCTACAAATCGCTGGTACTTCTGTCTTACACGATAAGCTCAACGCGCTAGGCAAAATCGTCGCGGAATATATTAGACTAATGCATGTTTTGCATCAAATTAATCGCAGCATCGTACCCGCATTAGAAGCACTGCCACTTTCTAGTTCTAAGATCACCAAAGCTATACGTGCATCAGAAGTGCTTCCACTTTTTAATTCATAAATCATCAAAGCTTGCGTGAAAAGTAGTCCATAGCACTAAACCTTTTCGACTTTCCGGTGCTTTGTGGCTCATTATGCTCAAGCCATACCATATTCTGGATGAGAACATATCCTGAAGCCCTATCGATACCACGGTTTACGCAGTCAGAACTCCTTAAAACCACAGGAGGATTAAAAGATCTTCGAAAGTTTGGTGATAATGATTCTCGCGTGACGAACAACTACCGCATATGTATTCAGCAGCTACCGTTTTTGACAATTTCACGTCGATCTTAATTCTGAAAGGCCTCTAAGCCCAACAGACTTTCTACAATTTCACAAACGCCAGGTCCTCGAGGTTAACAACCAAGACATTGGTATGTGAACTCTGAGATAGGCTTTTGGGATGAATTCTATTGGACTCGACCATCATGAGATACAAGCGAGCGGCACGGGGCGGCCTACTACGACTCAAAGCCTCTTGGCGAGGAGCTCGCGGGTGGACCCTTGAAGCGATCCTTTACACATCTAAACCCAAACAGAGGTCCAAACTGAGCAAGTATTTGTGTTGTTACCGATGTACCATCTGCGAACACCATATAACTACGCAGCAGCTAGAAACTGCTCTCGCTCCTGTGCTTGGTTGAGGCTCATTGCCAGTGACCTATTAACTTCAATACTCCAACCGGCATTGGTGGTATGAAAGTTGTGCTCTGCAGTAAACACGATGCATATTGCTTTCTCGAAAATGGGTGGGTGGACACAAAGGGTTTTCGGTGCGAGCTGCACCTGGGAATCTCCACAAAATTGTGACCGTAACCGTTTCCGGAAGAGATTGTACTGCCAACTGCCATCAAAGATATCAAGCTCTAGGCACAGCTCACCATTTATTTGCCTCCGCTGGCAGGTGGACAAGAAATTTGATCAAGCACGGTATGCGTGATTAGGCGTTGCGAACATCCGTGACATCTGTCGCCTAAAGACTTCTTATATTGTGAAATCTACATGAGTGCCGCACGCAAGTGCCCATTTCACGCATGGTCCTAGCGTGGAGATCGCTAGCGCAACGCGCTGCTGCTTCACGGGAGCATGGTCGAAACTCACCCTTCTCTGCGAGAGGGATATCCCATTCCTACCCACAAATGACTGGATGTTTTTCACAAGCGTCCTCACATTGAGCACCTCCTGGCGACCAAAAATAATTTCATTCCTCGAGTCGCTAATTGTGGTGACCCTACCGACGTTCATCTTGCGTGTCTTGTTGTCCTAACGACAGTGGGAAGAACAACTAGAATTATATTCTCACAAAAATACAGTGCTGTCAAGACTCGGCCGTCGAATTGACGACAAGAGCTACCATAGCCAGCGGGGTTGCTGTGCACCCTGCACAGAGGGAATCTGTCCGCGTTCTCTACCTCCCAGAAGAAAAATTCGTATACCTCATTCAAGAGAATCTCTCAGTTAAGTATCGACCTAGTTTGATCTTCCTACTAGTGTCTTGAGTATTTCAAGTTATATCGTGTTCGCACATACTGTTTGCAGTTCCTGTTCTGGAAGTATTAAATATGGAGGAAATGGCGTTTCCAGCCTCCTCGGAAATGAGAAATCGAATTGGACGAAGTAAAACTCAAAGGCAAAACTTACCGGTTGTTGCTCAAAATATATTTTTACTTGATCTGATTTGTCAGATGATACGTCAGACCACGATACGAGACGGGACCACACAATCTTGGCGTATTGATCAAAATCCTGAAATATTCTCAAGAATGTTAAAGATGTTCAAAAAACATACCATCTTGTCTCAACAACGATGGGACAACGGTGCTGCCAGATCAACTGATATTGCCATTACGAAAAAATGCAGCGAAATATTTTGATAGAATTTTACTTGATGCGACTCGATACGGCAACAATTTTGCTTTTCGTGCTTAGCTTCTGAGCTTGCTTAACTGATCAGTCGTCTCAATGCTAAAACGCTCATGGCTAGTATACTTTTTTAATATGAGTCTACATATGCGTCACCAAAGAAAGCTTAAGTTTAACACTAGCTACCGACACTGACATGACACGAACTTCAATTTGTATTGCCTTTACTGAGCTGCAGAGGAGTGCAGATGCGCGAATAAGCAAGCCGTCGTGTAGAAGTAGCAAAATCGTAATGTAATGGATCGGCAATTCTCGATGCCGATTTGCCAATATTCCAGCCAACGTGACTGCTGGAAGTTGCTGTCAATTGCTATTTCGTATCTTGCTTTGCTATGGACGCGTCTCGGCCTCTACTCGCCGGTGACGATAACGATAACGATGAGATCGTCACTCGACCCACAACTTCTTCAATTTGTTGTCGTTCAAGTGGCAATGAAACCCTTAGTGCCAAATCCATGTATAAAGCAAACGGTGACCACGTACCTTACTTTTTCTCTAGCAATGGCAAATGCGAACACACTTCAAGTGAACATGACTGGCATCTGTGCAGTCGATCGTGCAGTAAGTGGCCGTGCTGGAAGTGGATCTTTCCTAGTCGTATTGGAGAGTATGAGGACTTTGCAACGGCAGCGCAGATGGGAGAGATCTACGCATTGCGACAAACGGCACGCAAACAATTTGAACCAACTTTACCAGGTGATCCACTGCCAATGCGATATATACGCCTATCTTTTGACTTTTGACCTTCTTACAGAAGACGATAAAATGTTGCAACACCTTTGGGATGGCTTATACCCCACATTGCCTTACGAAGGCCGCGTCAACGTGCGATGGCGGGACGTTGGTTTTCAAGTGCGTTCGACTAGCGGAACTGGAGTGTAAACCACTGGACTGATATTGATGCTTGCTTTTTACTATGCAGAATGACGACCCGGCATCGGATCTGCGCACATCTGGACGACTAGCCATTCAGATGCTTCTTTACTTCTCAGACCACCTAAATGACGAATTTAAGGTGAATGTCCAAAAAGCAACAGCGTTTTCTCTGATCATCTGATCGTTTTTCATCGTACAGCGAATTATTCGCGAGAATCGTTTTCCTATGTGCATATGCGCGCTCAATTTGCTGGAAGTGTTGCTGTGTCATCTTAAACTGAAAGAGCCATTGCCACTTGTTTGTCCGTGTTGTGGCACGGAAAATGCTGAGCTTGAAACGTCAAAGAAGCCAAGTCAAACCCATCCGGAACTGTGTGGCTTCATAGCACTTGTGGAAGACGCGTCTGCTCATCAAATATCCTTTTCAGGAGGTGGACCTGCAGAAACTGCTTTGGCACACATATTCGTGCATTCGCTTCTAGTTATGGATGGCGTGTGGAAGCAGCAGCTGCAACGAGATCCAACTACAACGCTGATGCACTTCCGCGAAGCTTTAGTCGAGACAAGAGTGCGTATTGTAGCTTTTCTATCACGCCGACAAATGCGTTTGACACTTAAAGAACTCGATAAGTGGGGTTATCGACAACGAGCACGGTGCCAGTGAGGCTATCATAGGTCGGCACTTTTTGATAAGGAAAAAGTACATTTAGTAAACAAATATGCGGCTAGACCAACGTATACGATCTCCTGAATAGCATGTATATATCTGTTTGATTAAAGCTAACAAACGCTCCAATCAATAGGCTCCTTACCGTGATCTACGAGATATGTATTAGCACGCGAAAAGCATTTGGAGCCCAGAAATGGAGCGTTCGTCTTTGAAGCTCCAAGTGGTGACGGATGTGAGGAGCGGACCACTAGATGCCGCTTTGCATCAATAAGCACACCTTTTTCTTGCGCAGGTTTCCCCCAAAGCATAAATACGACGTTTGAGGCGTCTTTGTTTATAGTAGAAATGATTGCATCTGTCAAGTGTTCCCAGCCCTGCTTCTTGTGCGAATTAGGCTCCCCCTGACGCACCGTTAGTACTGTATTAAGAAGAAGAACGCCTTGACGACTCCAGCAGGTCAAGCAGCCATGAGATGGACGAACAATGCCAACATCATTCATGGCCTCTTTAAATATGTTTTTTAAACTCGGTGGCGGTGGAATTCCACGACGCACTGAAAAGCTTAGCCCGTGTGCCTGCTGTGGTCCATGATACGGATCTTGGCCCAAAATTACAACCTTCACATCTGCAAACGCACAATCACGCAGAGCCGCGAATACGTCAGTCGGTGGTGGGTAAATGGTCTTTTTGTGGCCTTCCTCCGCCTCTAAAAAACGTGTCAGTGTCTTGAAGGAACCATGCGCAAATTCCTTTTGCAGCATATCAAACCATGATTGATGCATGAGTGAGCGCAGCTGCACCAGCTTCTGCAACTCTGCAAATTTCATTACTCGCCCGGCGTCGCCGTGGAGTTGCTCTAGGCCTTGTTCGTCCAGAGTATTCTCAAGACTAGTACACGTCTCAATATTTTGAACACTTTTATTCTCAGTTACCAAGTTCGGTTTATCAATGCCTATATTCTTATCTGTGCAGCGCTTCTTGGCCAGTGGCTGCGCACCGAAAAACGTGCGAATATCGCGAGTCGCTCTTGCCATTGCGGTTCGCAAGAAATGATATTCAAACCGATAATATTATATATTTCATATTTTTGAGAGTTAAATCAAATTTGCTTTGGAAGAATTATCGATAAACTTTTACATCGACCATGAAACTCATTGGTAATTCTTCTACCTGGCCTGGTAGAGGGATTTGCTCTCAATGACTGAAAGAAAAAAATAGCAAGGTGTTTTGGGTAGAATCATTTAGTGATTCTGAAAAGGTTGGCGAGGAAACCGATCGCTATCTGAGATTGGAAGATTTATGACATAAGCTTTTAGCCAGATGAAAGTGTATATTGGTCGCTTATGGTGGTCACCTCTGGAACTGTGAAGCTACTGATTGATTGCAATATTGCTTCTTGCCTCACCGTTGTCATTCTCAGCTTATCCGACTTAGAGACTACTTGAGCAAGGATGAAAAGGAGAAGCGATCCAATCGATAGATACGCTATCGAGCCTTAATTGTATCTGCTCGTGGTGATGAGCAACGTCGACTAAGAGAAAACAAGTGAGTGTTTACTTATCATGACTGCGCTGAGGCTTTACTGCGAAAATCCAGATATGAGGAGACAAAAGTATGCATTGGCATTTAATCAGAAGGCTGCGACCCTTGAGTACTATGTTTTCTTGTCAAAGAAGTTTCACATACCAGATACCTCACATCAGGCGCAAACTCCGAGCAAGTCTTCAAAAGACAATTCCAATATGTGCTTTCAACGGTCTAATTGCTGGTTGTTTCGATGTCAATTTATCTGCATAATACAAACACGCTTCGTGTAAACTTAGTATTTTATAAAACCCGATTCGTGTGATGATAATAGTAACAAACTGCAATTGAGCGCTCTACTTGGTTCTTTAGTGGTTGTATCTGACTTGCTCGTTGGAATATCCAGGTTATATTCGGAGGGCAAAAGTGCAGCAACAATTACGTAATCGCCCCGTAAAAAATTTCCATACTTTTAGCTGCTTGAAAAAGCAGTTCAGCAAAAATTTGAGAGGAATTTTTTCAAATCGTTGATGAAACTTTGATGGGAGGTATGCTCGCGATACTGGATATATATAACAAGCGGCTTGTTTTTTTTAAACGGGCGTACTCGTCGCTGATGTGCCAACAGCAAGTCAAATGACAATTCTACCTTTTATCCGTGTGGAGAACACATTTCTCTCCAAACCTGAAGTCACATGTATATCAATTTAGGTCCTCAATCTTCAAAATAGGTTACCAACCTAATGGAGGACGAATTAATTGCGCAGCGCGATGCGGCCGTTGCTGTGACCAAGGAGCTTCAACGTCAGCTGCAGAATCGCTGTGCGGAGATGGAACGAACATTCGAACGTCGTACGCTGAATGCAGAACGATTGCGTCTACACGCTGAAGAAAAACTTCGCCGTTCATTAGAGGACCGTGACTGGAGCGAAAGCTGTTGCCGCCAGTTGTTAGTGCTGACCCTGTTTTTTGGCTGCGGTGGCGCCGTTGCAGGATGGTCCACCGGATTGCTAGTGCTAGTAGTGGCTGGCGAGCCATTTGTAGGTTTCCTAATGGTGCTGCCTGCTATGGCTCTCGGCATGCTGATGGGGATGGCGGTTGCTAAGACAAAGATCCATCTGGAGACAAATCGCCGGTATACCAGGAACAAAGACACATGCAGACATTTCGAGGTAGAGACAGCCATCAATAGCGGTTTAGGAGAGAAAGAAGTGCCTCTGGCGCCACTGGGGAGCGTTTTGGGCATGGAGGACGTTGCAAGTGAAAACTTTCGGTCGTGGGAGCAAGACAGTCACGGAACGGAAGCTAAAGAGATAGATGTGGCAGCAGGTCCCACATCTTTTCTACACTTTGGCTGGAGAGCGGCGTGGTTTACGCTACATGCCACTAAGGATATTGCGGTGGGGATGTATCATGGAGGAGACTACATACGCAGCATATTGTACCCATCCAAAGCCACGCACGAGAAGAAGAAATCTTAAGCTAATATTGGGCGGATAATCAGCGAAGATCTGGAAGCAGATTGTGGCCGTTGCTTTAATTGCTCTGAATGTACGAGTATTTATAAATTGTGTCAAGCGATACTACATTTCGCCGTTTGCCCTAAGGTTGCTATGATACAAGGTTTAAGGAAATGCCGTTTTTCCACTGATGTCGGAAAACTTATGATTCATGTGTGCGCCGGCAGGGCTAGTGAATATGTACCATCTGCAATCGTAGTGCGTTCTTTTCTACTCATCTTGCAATATCAGTGGTTGACATAACGCAATAAAATGTCGACATATCGCTTGTCGCTGTTTCATCTGCTGTCTGCAGGTAACGAATCGTGAGTCCGCAATTATGTCATCGGACTGGTCTAGATCGGGCATGTATATCAGTAACTTGTGGAGTGATAAGCTTCGACAGTGGCACGCTACTTGCACTGACCTATCATGATATATATAATACTGTACTGATGTCAGTTCATCTCATAACAATGCTCAGTCCATGAACACCTCAAGGATTCGTGCAGTGATGCGGAAGTTTAGAGCATCACTTCGGCACCTTTCCCGACGATTGGCGACCGTTTGTTTACCACCACCCATTTGCCGGAATTGATCTATAAAAATTTTAAGACTCTTGTGTGATGAGAAGCATTTTGAGCCGTTTGCATGATGAAGTTACTGCTCTGACTCCGAATTGGATTTTTATTTGCTACAAGCTGACATTGCCAGATGGAATTCTAGCATCACTATTGTGTGAAACGTCGATCCGACCTCGTCCAGCTGTCATCAGCAGATGTCTTATATGCCTCTAAGAATTATAGCACTGACGATATGCACAATTTTGCTGTTGAAGTTACAATGACATCAACATATCTTTTATCGAAAGTGCTGGATTGTGAGTGCGCGAAATTCAAATTGAATGGACCCGCAACAAGGTTTACAATAGGTTATATATTACACTGATCTACAAAGGCGATATCACTGTGAAAAGTTCCCTTACAGCTTGTCATTTGCTTCCGCTGTTCAGCCGTATGTCCTCTCGCTTTCCAATTTACAATGAAAGATCACTCACGCCTGATGGGCTGGCTTCTTTAATTATGCCTTGCTTAACGTCGCTGGAGTAGCTGCTAGTGTTTTGACTTGAGAAATCGGAAGAAATCTCAAACGGTACAAGGCTGAACTCGATGGCGGTAACTGAATTATCGTCATCGATTAAAGCTGACGCCATGAGGGTGAGCGTCAAAATGCTGTTTTCAGCACCTTGGGCTTGTACTATGGCGCTAAGGGGCTTCAAGCTGCTGCTAACTGATTGCATAATCGCTTCAAGCTTACTATTGTCTAGACAGAGACTGGAGCGAAGCGTGTTGATATTCATTAGGTTATCTTCAGTCTGGCCAGTCTGCGCCAAGAAGGCCGAATTGACAGCCATTAGTCGCATGTTCAGATCGACAAGAATACGCGGAGTCGAAGACTGATCAAAGCATCGCTTGAACACAGTATCCATAGGGTTCCCATTCTGGGATTGTGAACGGAGGGTGTCGGCTTGTTTCTCTGCTCGCTCGGCTTTTTGTTTGGCAATCAGTAGATTACTACGTAGCATACCAACATAGTGATACGTGTTGTCCAGAATTGATTGTTTGTTCTTCTTAGATTGCACACCAGCCTCGTCCAGCAGTGACTTCAGTTGATTAATGCGATCATTCAATTTAAACATTCGCTTTTTCTCTTTCATATTAAGATCCTCACGCGATCGTTTGGAACCGGAATGCGACGGTGTATTGTCACCCGCTGAACCTCCAGAATTATAATCCGTAGAAACATGCAACATCTGAGCAGTCATTTGAGGTGGGGCATAGTATTGACCTGGATGATGCATACTCATCATGATAGGTTCATGGTCAAAGTCACCTTGATGATGCTGCGGAGTCTGCACTTGGTGTTGTGGCGTCTGTTGCATTGATTGTTGTGACGTGATGCTGTTTGGATGGACTAGCTGATGAAAGTCGTGAATTCCTGGACCGTGATGAAAGCCGCCACCATTGTCAAGCGAAGAGTTGAAAAGCTTAGGTCGATCGCTGTGCTGGTGGTGAGTTACGGCCGTCTGGTAGTGCGAGTAGCCATAGTCGTTTTGAAGCATCTTGTAAATTTATCGGGCGGTTAGAAAGAAAGTTTGTTGAATATAATCAGCCAGGTGTTTGGTTGGACCAGGAAATGAAATGGTGCTGGACCTTTGGGATGACAGTGAGTGGGATACGGCCAAATGGAAAATGAGCAGCTGGTAGAGGAGACTGGCGATTCGAACTGGAACAAGGTGATATCAAATTGAGGAGGGAGCGGCTTGCCGTCTTATCGCGAAGCCTCTACCGACAAGAAAGCGAGGAGTGGGCTATCTCTTTCAGAAAGGACTAGGGCCCGCAAAATTCCACGCTCGCAACCAATGCAAAAACGAGACATGTTTTTGCAAGTCTTGTATGATAAAGGGTCCAATGAGCGTGAAGAGCTTACATAATAGTGCCTGAGTTGACAAGTACAAAGTATGCATACTTGCGGCACGCTTCCCATCTTACACGCAAGCTCCACTCTCACCCATACAACAACATTCTTCAAGGTGAGGTTGTACGCCCTAAGCAAATAATTACGGTATGAAGTGAAATTCATTAATTTTGTCTTTTAATTGCCGCTGCAAATTTCCTTTGCCACAACGAGCTTTCTTTCGAGCTGAAGTTGCCTCTCAAAGATCAGCAGCCGGGGCGCCTATCGTGACCAGCTGCCGGAGACTACCAAAATTGACGATCCAAGTTTACGGTGGACTGTAACAGCCGGCGTGCACAGCACATGGTTTTTTTTTGGTGAGTTAGGGCAAATGCAAGACAGCATTTTCTGGGGACGCATCTGAAAGCTCGATATTCTACTGTACAGCTGCTTTCGTTCCAGGGGTAGCGACGCAGTGACGACTGACATTGCAGATCAAACAAGATGAGTTTGACACTGCAGCATTCCTACATTGCGCACGTACCCTTGTGGTTGTAGTGACCGATAAAAGAGGATCACTGGCAGCTGCTTTCGACGAGCTGCTGTTTGGCTGAGTCAGGAAGCACCGCACCACATGGAGTCTGCATAGAGCAGTCCGACGGCCAGAACAGGTGGTTGGGTATCGACATGCCGAAATGATTGATGAAAACGATGCTAGCGTCTAACTTTCGTATCTGTTGAGGGTGCTGACGCCATTGCACTTGCTGGATACCAACTCCGCATAGCCATTCCCCTTGCCTCAGCATCCCGACATGGAGCTTTGAATTTATTTATAAAAACTTCTGTAAACAACAAGTTTACAAAGAAGCTCATCGTTACTGAAGCCACCACATTAAAGTACCAATATGCATACTAGCTATCTACATGTATCAATTTATGAAAAGGATGCAAATCGAAAAATCACTGCAACATTAACAGTGGCATACAAATTGTTGCCGGGAGCTGATCCTAGAGAAATTTATCCATGATAAGCAAATAAATGGCAGCGACGTAGCACAACAAATCTGCGGCCATCCTGAGTGATTTACGCGATAAGAATTAGATACCCTTTTTATGAGAAAAGCTGGAAGGTATGTTCTTTATAGCTCTGATACGACCTTGAAGGAGTTCATGTGACGCTCGTTCTATGGGTCCTCTAATCGTTTCTGCAAAGACTAAGTGAGCATTGCACTTCTTTCAGACGCGAAAAAGGATCTTGTCAATGGTAAAGTATGTACAAATTATAGATGGCACGTGTTCGGACTGCTAAGTCAATAGCACCATACTTCGAGTCAATATTCTAGAACTTTCTATTTGATAAAAGCCTTTTACGAGCTTACGTATCCAAACGCAATGAAGCTCACCAAAAAAAAGTTTGGGTAGATATGCATTGCAGTTCGTGTCCTAATGTTAAAATCAACCACCATCAAAAGTTTTCTTCATCAGATAGTGAGCAACATACTGGTAAGGCTTTTTCTATCTGTTTGAACTAGACATATCCGGCGACGCCCGATAAATGGGCCTCTTGGTATTTCTGAAATTTGATTTGTGAGAAATTCGTCAGACTCGTAATGTTACGCGAGAGAATCCCGTGGAATTCCACTATCCAGCACATTTGGCATTTGGAGTCAATTTCTGTAAAATTTACTGATTGGTCAAAGTTATTCGCCAGACTTTTGTGTTCCGATTAGGTGTGTCACTGTAATAAATCTACATATAAGTTTAAGTGTGGCACGATACATTGTTGTGAGCTCTGCCAATTAAATGTGAATATACCTTCAACATAGGTAGGAATTTAAGCTAACGCTAGAATTAACTTTTATCTAGCGCAGAATGCTGGTCGCTTCTCGAATCGGATTCCATACCCCTAATTACACTATGGTAGATTTTTAGTTCGTGTCACCCAAATATCACACACCCATTCGGGTGCGGGTTGGCAGGGCAGACAACTTTTGAATGTGATTGCTCGTCCATTATGGTGACCCATAGCTGGCTGACTTAATCTTATGAGTATCGGACCAGATACCTGCCGGTCCCAGGCCAAGCGAGTTACCACTGATGCCCCAGAATCGATTCAGCATTGGTAGGAGTAGGAGTCATATAAAAAGCCAGAAGCACGATACCTCAATGTGACGCTGCAGATGCTGCTATACTATATAGCTATCATTTTGCGATATCAAACAAGTGAGATGCTTGTACGCAATGGCAGCATCGTCTAAGTTTATCTCCACCTCTCGATACACTCTGATGCATCATTCATATATGGAGCTACGATATATTTAAATATATAATTGATTTTGTGAGTTTGAGCTCGCGATGGGCATATCCTTCATCACCATCGAGCGACGAAGTGTACATTTTCATTCGAGTGATCGAATGTTGACAGGCTAGCGGAACGTTTAAGTCTTTCATTTTCAGCTCTACCAAAGTTTGCACATTCTAACTTGCAGTATACAACATCATCCTTCTGACATAGATCCAAAGCCTAGTGCCTGGGTCTATCATCGTGTTGGAGAACAGAGATTTTAACTGCGTGCTAAAGTACAAAGCTTTAGTGCTATGTATGATATTGATGCAATGGTGGTCAGTAGGACACGGGCTGTCGTGCATCTTTCACAAAAAAGCTTTGACGCAATGATGAGCTCAAACACCTTATCTGGGAGTAGACTCGAATGACTTGTAGAAAGCTTAACTTAGCTGTGCAAAATTGATCTCAATGTTTACATGTAATAGAAATGAATTAAGTTTGAAGTGATACAAACATATCTGTCTTACTGTGCGCGACAATAAGGCCAAATGCACTACATGACGTGTAGCTAAGAGCACACGTATTCCGCCAAGCTCAGTTCTACGGAGTTTCATCGTTCTCATCCATATCAGTACTTTAATTTTACGGAGCTTTGCACTAACATGTGCACCATAAATAAGTACATACATTCTTATACCCTCCCTTACCGAGAGGAGGTTCACACCGGGCTCACACTTATTTTGTCTTTCAGAAGCCATCGAGCAAATATGAGCGCTAAACACAAAAGTCCACTGAGCCTGGAATTTCACTCACCATGAAGTGCCTGCTTTAACGAGCCGTATCACCGGCACTAGGCCCATGTGGGTAGTCACATGACGGGGGGCCGAAAGTATCCTGGTTCGGTGCAATATGATCCGAGTTTAGGCAGCCGCACATGAGTCAATAAACTGGACGAGCAATCACACCGAAAAAGTGTGTATGCCCTGCGAACCCGCTACCAAATAGGTGTGCAGCAGTTGGGTAGGCTGGAGGCCCCACAAACCGAATCGGCCCCGTAGGGGTACGGGGTACGTGACCTCGTCCAAAACAGTCTTGCATTCTGCGCTAGGGAAAGCTTTGTCTTAGCGTGTGTGTTCCGGTAGCTTCGGAGTCCACGCCCCCATGGCTTAACGAGTTCCGGTAACAGGCGCAAATATCGGGTCGACGACATTGAAGCCGTTTTTCGGTCGAATCGATTATCTAAGCTCTTACCAGGTACCTATATTAATACCAACAGTTATACGACATGGCCGTTCATTGAATCAATGGCGTCCTTTGCGCACCGTCTAACCTCTACACGCGTTCTGATATACTTTTCTTCTCTTTGGTGATACGTCACCTCGTATTCAAATTCGCGACGACGACTGGCTCGATATTGATGCTTCAAACTTGACTCAGCAAGCCAATTTTGCCGGCTTATGAGCGCAAGAGCAGCATATACCCTATCATGCCTTGACTCTTGAGTTAATTCCTCAGCCATTAGCCCCCGCATTGAGCGTGAACTTTACAGAACTTTTTTGCGTGGGCTTTCTGGAAAAGGCTTAATGGCGCTCAAAACTTTTTTCCGCGAGCGCTTTCTGACATATCAGATTGCCGCTTCACAAAACTACTACATGCACCTGTAGCAGCAGCAGAACGACACTTCAATGTTCATATACGCCTTATCTAAAAAGTTTGATAGCTAGAAAAGTATCGAAGTTGGTTTGTCCATTTGCTTAGAAGCACAAAATAGCTCATTCATCTGTCTGCCTTTTAAGTCAGCTTCAGTAAGGCAAAATTACAGAATGCAATGTCCCTGAACGCTTATTATAGCGAAACCCAAACCTTGATAATGGTAATGATGCCGAGGTAGATACACATCACCTCAACCTATATTGTCAACAGCCCGTATATATTGATCGGCCTTCCGATACAAACCTCATTGCTGATCAAAGCCGGGTCCCACTCGCGAGTGAAGAAGGCGTTGCGCGCACGACCTTGCTTTCTTCACCCAGATATGACGACAGGAGGTGCACCAAGCTGGAGCGAGTGACGCCAGGGCAATCTTGTTGGCAATGGACATCAAATTTCCATAATTTTCCGCCAAATATTGCCTAATGCCCTAGTGACCCCCCGGGTCACTATCCTTTTCACATCGAATTGAGGTTTACCTGTTCATCGAGCAAGGATCAAATGGTTTAGAGCCGTATGGCTGGCAGACGGCAGGATCTAGATCATTTTAGGCATTGGATGAGCCGTTACGCCGCCTTAAACAGGGCTCTTCAAATCTGGGTGAGTTTGAGTCACGTGAAACACGAGATTTGTTCGCATTCTCTTTAAGATATTGAAAAGGTAGTCCAATCTTGTCCTGAATATGTCCATAAACGGTCAGGTGTAGAGACGTCGCAACTAAGTCATTTGAGCTGTCAACAATATCTATGCAGGGAGACACAACGTATTGTACGAACATATTACCAGCAACATAATGATGTCGTTTCCGCCTGCCTCTGGCGAATGCATATTGGTTTGGCACATCCCACCTTCCCCTATTCGACACATGACGAGCTGATATCAGCAAGTCAAACATTTTTAGCTATATTTTCCCCATTAAAACCGGAGCCACTTCGTGTAGGTGTCAAGATGACACGGTTATTACGATATTATTGATATTGATATTGAGCTGTACAAATAGTCGTGTATCGCGTTGAGCTCAACGCAATGTCAAGTTGTCGAAGCATTTGATACAGTACCCCGATACCCTGCGCAAGTAGTTTTTAGAGAATTCTCCACAAAGCAACTAGCACGATCGGTCTGGTCATCGGTATTAGACTACCAGTTGTGGACATTTTCTCTTTGTGCCAGGCACCTTGAATAGAGTTCGCAAGTAATTTGTGGTAAAGCTGGCTAACAATGGCGGCAAGAAGCCACGTAAAGAAGAAGAGAAGTTATTGAGATATTCTGTCTTTGGGAACGGTATCGTTCTAGCAGCAAGATCACGTATGTATCTTGCTCAGATAGTTTACAAAGACTACGAATTCGTTGCCTACCAAATTTGTCTAAACTAATAGATTGTTAATGCTCTGTTGGACCTCAAAGACGCTGGTGCACGCGACGAGAGTTTAATCTGCTGAAGGCATCTAGCGCTTGCAATCATGAGTGTTCACACAGCTGGCCAAGTCAAATCGTCAGTACAAAGCGCTTACTGATCCGTTAATTTCTTACAAAATGAAAGACCACCCATAAAGCGTTGTACAATATTCTGGACTCGTTTTTTTGATATGAAATATCATGACAAAGCGAGTTTCGAGGTGATCAGTCCACTTTTGAAAAGGAAAAGTGGCGCAAACGTACTGTTGAACGGTTCAACAAGGCGTTATACGAGCTAGCAAGAAAAATTAGCTTTTCAAGGCTTCAGCTACGTAGCACGTGATCCATCCTGTCCGTTGGTGATTCAAATTATCTTGTTCATGTAAGGGGACACGACAGTGACATACGACATTGAAAACGCAAAAGTTCAGATCCGGCATCGCCATCCTTGGAGGTGTCGCCCTCCCAAAATTGTCTATATTTCAATGAAATATGCTGACAACATTGCCGTGTGCAGCATCGCTTTGATCGTATTGATCAAGGTCGGCTTAGAACCAAGCTCATGCATTTAGAGTATGACAAGAGCATACTTGATAGTATATAGCGTCTTGTCATGAACAGGGTGATTAATACAGATCCTAGGTAACCCTTGAGCACCCCGCTCAAAGTAATTACTGCAGTGAGAGGGGCGTCACTCTCTCATGATTCATACCTGAAACCCATCAACTAGGCCGAAAGCACCACATGAAGTGCAGCCGACCGTCTCACTTGCATCACCTTCTTTTGAAAGTGCTTTTCCATCTGCATAGCGATATTTTTATAGTTTTTACTTGGTTAACATGTGCAATTTGTCGTGTGCCTTTAGCTTCTAAGCCACAGAAAGGCGTCGCCAATTACGAGATATATCTGACGTGGAAGCGAGATCCACCGCGCCCTGACGAGAAGGGATGTCATTAAAAAACTAAGGCTTAAGAAACACGTCAACTATTTCTACTCGGGGACAGTGTAACGGAGGAGACGCTTTCTGCCGTACAAAATACGGAGCATGATTGATGAGCGAGAGTATATTCTTCACTCGGCGTTATCTTTATGCATCGGAAAAGCGGCAGGTGGCAAATTTTGTATACATAATAAGCTTAATTTCTCCACCATTTCGCGCAAGCTCAATAGTAAACTCACTTAAGCACGCTGATCTGCCAACAATGATTTCAGGAATGTAAGTGCTATAAAACAGCATGGGCGACTGCGTCTTGCTGAGAAATTTTGACGTAGTTGATGGATACTATCGACTGCGCCGACATTTCTCAGCCTGCAGTGCATAGTTCGGGCGCGACAATCTTGGACAGGCTGGCTATGTCTTAGGAGCTCTCGAACTGTCAGATACATTGAAAAGCATGGTGGTACATGCCGCATTGTGCTTTCGCATCCGCCAAATATGACGATATATGTGTTCATAGATGTGTAGAGTGCGGGATATTCACATTATACACAAGTGAGCAGTGATTGTTTGACAATATAGAAATGTGTAATTCTGCGTCGACGAGATTTCAATTCTGATTTGGCTGATTGGGACAAACATTCTGTCAGTATATCTAGAAAGACAAATACCAGTGCAGATTAAACAATTTATCCACCCAGGCTTCTTAAAAGAGTGGCTTGGCTTTGCCACTCGCTTGCACAACTTTGTCGCAAATATGCCAATAGGTCCTGGCCCTCATCAAATTTCCTAAAAAGTGTAGAATTGCCTGGACCACAGCAAAGGATGCGAACTACATGGCTGTGAATGACAGCTTCATAAATACCTAAATTTTGTTCTCTTCGACTCCAGAAAATGCTTTTTAGTGATATCTGTGACGCTTGGGCCTTTGCCGAGTTATGTGTATTACTCCAAGTGACACCAGTCAACATCAACATGTGATTGCGTTCAAGTCCGCCAGCTTTAGTCGATTGCGCTCTAATTCAACCATGATCTTTACAGATCATGCGTAGTCGGCGCACTGCTCTTACCACAAATTTCAGAGAATGCCAAGATTTGGATTCTTTTAAGCGATTACCCATTGAGATATGTCATTCACAAGGTCTGAACCTTCGCGCACGTAATTCTATATTAGCCTTGCATCGACAACTTTATACGTACAGCCTTCGTGCCGGATGCATTAGGCATATCGTTGCTGATGGATACGCATCCGGTGATATATCTTTGTTAGTTGCCTAAGCAAGATGCCTGAACTCGATGCTGGTAGCAACATCGTCCCCGATAACATCTATTTGGAACCAAAGAATTCATCAGCAAGGTTTGCTGGTGGTATTTGTCATGCTTGAGATCCGAGCTTTATTAGAGGAGTCTAGGGAGCAGTATTCACGGGCATGTTGCAAGAAGTGTATGCCCATCTCATAAAACGGTCGGATTAAACGTACTATTTGTGTTGTGGCGGACATTTTCGGCAGCACGTTCCGAGGACGATCGCGGTGCCGGCGCTAAGTGCTCCTCTGAATCGAGTGTACGTTACGTAACACGTTACACGCCCATTGACCATCGGAGATTTTTAAACACCCCTTCAATTTATCATCTTGAAACTGCCGCTGACTCGCTTATTTTTTTGGTGAAAATAATGTATCGCTAATCATCGGCTTGCTGACATTAATTTTCTTAACAAATTAAGGGTCATATTTCGGCGAGTCTCATGCGCCGAATTAGCCGTACTAAGGCCACGCGCCAGGATGTGCAAAAGCAGTATGCAACAGCTAGAGGCAAACAGATTAAACCTGAATTCGTAGCGAGTAAGCTAGTTTTTACCGGTAAGCTGGCAGCCCACACGCATAGAGGCATCAGGTCTCCGCCGTCGCGCTGCGGCTCCTTCTAGTCAAAGAAATCAATTCGTTTGGTTTAATTTATTTTGCAAAAGTCGTTGTAGCTTTCGCGCTAGCAAATTGGCAATTGTAACTCTCTTAATCAGGACGTTTCTAACGATCCGCTGCAAAACGTCAAACATGTAAGGAATGGACACGGGATACACTGCTTGTGCGAAGAAGAGATGGGTTTGCAGAACGCAGCTTTCTTCTTGTTTGGAGCTTCCGTATCTGTCTCAAAGACGGCAGAGGTGCCAGGTCTGGACTCGCAGAGTCGCTATGACCATTTTGGTTAATAACAGGATCTGATACCTCGCCAAAAATTGCTGGTAGATTGTCGGCCACGAACGTCGTTGAGTCACGAGAGCACTATTCCTGATGCGGATCATACAGGCACTGTATGCTTCAGGTTGAGGAAAAGAAATTTATGTTGTGCTGACCGCTCACACTGTTCGATAAAAGAACAATCACGCGAATAGAGCATCTAAATGAAATATCCGATAAAGTTGATATTCATATGCCGACCATAGTCTAAGATTTATTATCTAAATGCAACGCTTACTCGTACGCTTCTCAAAAAAACTACGCATTGTCAAAAGTGGACAGCTCGCAGATTGAAGATGATATCGACCGTTAAGCTCGAGAACTTGGGCCGCAAATAATATTTCCATATTAAAACATGCATTTGCATATAAGCGAGACCTTTCACAGCTAACTTTCCCGCAGATAGCGGGACTCGACTATAAGGCGTATATGAGCAACGTAAAGGTGGAGTACGCGTCTGCACCAATCCGGCAAATGGGTAATTCGTGGGACCACAAAGACGAAAACGGAAACGTGCGAGAACGAACTTGTGCACCAGCTATGGAATCGAGGACTCACGAAGCACTCGGTTGCTTTAGAGTCCCTCGATTCCGCTCCTGGTTGTGGAACACGGGTCCGTCCTCTGTGTTTTTGTTTATAGACTGAATACTGCCTCTGTACGATGTGCACGATGATGCAATTGCAATATACCATGATTAGATAGATTCCTCGCCACAGTAGCATCAATACAGAAGTTTATCCAGACCTAGACATGTTTACCAGCTATTATGTAGATATAAATAAACTTCCTCGTACATCTAGGTTTCATTATTTGCAAAGCTCCAGCCTCATTAATGTCTAAGCAGACGGCGATACGAGAATGTGATAGGCATTTGGGTGCCTCAGTTATAATCTGCTTTCAGGACATAGCTCTTTGCGGTCTACCTGAGGTGACGGTGTAATCCAACACCGTTGATTTATGCGGTGTCCTAAAGGTAAAATACATTTGTCGAAGCTATCCGAAGAGCGTTCAAACTTAATAGTCTTCCGGCTTAACTAATTAATTATGATGTGCAGTAAACTCTATTTAAGTGCAGTATGGCTTTTGTCGGCCATGTCACCAGATTAGCTCTTTCGATAATGGGATTTTTTGGGTCACGCAATTAAGTCCTAAGGCAAAAAATTCGACTTAAAGATGGATTACAGGGTGGTGTATTGGCCGAGGCACTTGTGGATGTCTGCCTCTACCACTGCATCTTTATCGACTGTGTTCTGCCGGCGTCTTTCTCCTACTTCTGTGTGTGTCGTGTCGCTTGACGCAACACCTTCAAGTGATCTTGAGCTTTTGACCGCAAAAGGCTCGGAATCTTGCCGCGTTATACTGTTCGACACGGAAGTGGCAGCAATTGGAAGCGACGATACACGTTATATTCCGAAGCCTTTGCGACAAATGGAGAAATACTTTCAATCTTGCAACAATTGTGACAAGATAGCAGCCACATCATCAAAACGGGCGAAATGGAATGTTTTACAGACTTTGGGTTTTTACGTTCTGCATGTGCCAATTGCTACGCTGCTGACTATGACTACCGCACTAAAGCAAATAATACATGAGACAAAGACCCCGTCATGGCTTATTACAGGTGGCGGTAAGAATTTGTCGGTAGGAAAGTCGATCATGCGCGCTGCAGTTTGGAGACGTGTTAATGTGGATTTCTTCTCTTTGCAGGAGCTGTCGACGTTTTTGTCTGTGCTATCCTTGCAGGGACATAATGCAGCACACATTGTTAATCGCTTAGAGCACTTGTATCGCAAAAAGGGGAGACTTTCACGGCAAGAAAGTAAGCTCTTCCTTTGAGAATATTTGTTCTGTTTGCTTACAAAAGCGCTTATTTGTTTTGTAGAGCGAGAACTCCTACAAATTTGCAACTTTATATGCTTTTTTTTGCTCGATGTGGCACTAGGGCGAATGCTCCTAGCCTACGTAATCACGACACCATTTCTGCAAGCCTTCGACACGTGCGTGCTTTCGGTAGAACTGATGCGTATGCCATTTACCTCTGACGCCATCTTGCTCTTATCACAGCTGTCCGAAGCTAGTTGTGGATTTTTTGCGCAGCAATGTGGAGTGGCTAATGGGAGCACCCGCGGGTTTTAAGCTAAACAAACCCCTGGCTACAATTTTAGGAAATGGCATTCTCTTATGGCTGCATTTGTGGAATTTTCTTTCTGAGCAACTGGTGGATGTAGCGAAAAGTATCCACCTGGGCTGGTGGCTCCTACAAATAACTCATTTTTTGGGTCTGACGCTACAGTTGACGTTACTGGCAGATATTGTGAGCCTGACGACATGGCATTCGCATTGGGTCTACCTCTACTTTGCAAAGCTTAATCGTGTACAATTTCAGCTGTTTTCGTCATTATCGAAGCTTTTTTGTGGGAGGAAAAATAATGTGCTTCGTCAACGCGTTGACACATGCGAATATGACATCGGACAGCTTCTGTTGGGCACACTTATATTTACTATCTTAACATTTCTCGTGACGACCAATTTGGTTTTCTTTGCCTTCTTCGCGGTAGTGCGCGGAAGCATCAAAATGATTTTGTTGCTGCTGTGGCTGCCAGTTGTAGCATTAAACTCACTGCCCGTGGCCTCACTGATTTATCGAGCGTGGAATCCATTCTTTTTTGTCGTTGGGATGGAGCTTCAAACATTTGATTGCATGCCAGACAATGAAATTGTCTTTAGAAATGTGGGCGTGGGTCGTCAGTCACCGCGTTTAGATGCTCAGCACAAAAGTGCACTTCGACAAGTGTTTGCATCCAGAGAAAACAGCAACATTTCAAACTGTGACAACGCCATATTTCAGCTCGTGCCAATCACTTCCAGCTACACTGAGCAATTTATCAGGTTCGTTCGTTCGTTGTCTGTATGATACCGTGTTACTTACCCCACAATGCTGGATAAAGGCTGCGTACATACCTACAGGCGGTAGGTGCTCGCTACTCGCTGACTGTCATTGTAAAAGCGTTTTTGTTAGGAAGCACTGGAGTTGATCAAGTCCCGTCGAGTGTCCTGTTGGGCTACTTTGAATCATCAAATAGAAGCCATGAAAAACCCAGTACCAAATAATATGTAAGATTGAGCTTGCAGTTGAAATGTCGACCGATGAGCCTCATTGATGCCGCTCCATCCGTTTTGATGGACGTTTGGATCACTTGACTATCGTGATGTTTTGCAATTGCTAGTACAGCGCAGTGTATTACTCCGTACAAGCATTTTATCGACAGTCATTTGTACTAGTTTCTAATCACTATGCTTTGTTGAAACATCTTGTAGCTTTTGATCCAAGGGTCACTTTTTCAATAAATTTATAGCGCGACGGCAAAAATAGTAAGTTGTAATTTTGCATTCCTGCATAATTCGGTAGTCAGAAAATAAACAGAGAAACACAACGTAAATTTAACATTGTGCCACAAGATTTATCAGACATTGATGAACCGACTCGAGTTGTGCTTGGGACACATTTCTCATGCCCGATCGTCCAACATCATGTTCATGCTGAGGGGTGACGTGCCCCCAAACTCATGATGTAGCAGGTTTCAATTTATAATGGCATCCTCGTTCAGTAGAACGTCAATACAAGACATTTACAGAGCTACACCAGTCCATGCACTCGCACAGGTGTCTCCATGGAGATCTAACATGGCAAAGTATTCTGACCAAGGTTCTCCTTGAGAAATACAAAAGTTTTAGAGTTATAAAGGTGAAAGTTGCGTTCCTGCTAATCCAAGCCATCGAAGTCTGGCTTGGTGGTGCTGCACCTAGTGTGCCACTTACAGCGACATTGCTTTAGCGTCTTGACACTGTTACAAATATTCTGAGCTTGTAATTACCACTTGTGTGGTTCAGCGCTTAGCAGAAGCATTTTAGCGTTTCATGAAGAAATCGCTTTTATTCCACCGACATCTTATTAGGAATCCTTTGAATGTGTCTCGTCAGCATCCTCTTTGCTGGCCTTCTCCTTCAGGCGAGTGGTAGCTGCTACCAATTCTCGGGCCGTCAATAGTAAAGCCAATCGAACACGATAATAGATTAATCGTGTCTTGTAGAACGGGGATGGGATCACAGTAGTAGTCCTCCTAGAGTATCTCCAAGATTCAGTCGTTGTTTGATGACATGCACTTCAAAGTGCAACAGGGATATTGCGAAGCCATACACAGAAGGAGCTCTCGACTCTTAGAGTCTGCTTTAGCAAACGTAATGAAAATTCGACTTGAAATACCAAGTACACAAAATCGCTTAAGTTTAAGAGTAATATATGAGAGA